CCCACACCCACACCCACACCCACCCCCACCCCACCCACACCCACACACCCACACCCACCCACACCCACACCCACACCCACACCCAAATTGATAAATATCTCCATAACGAGACTTGAATTCTGCGAAGACTGCAGGTGGAGATTTACCATGCAGCAACATACCCGATTGAATTAGATTTCCGAAGAGAAAATGTGGTGATAGACCCGGTATAGGACCACGAAGAGTAAAATATTTAAGTTTGACATATACGAGTAGTAAAAGAATAACACTTATGGTTAGTAAGAGAAGCATGGCATGTGACTCGTCAATATCTAAATGTCAAGTGTTATTCAGAACCATTATCATAAAATATTATAGAGAGTCGTGGCATAAAAAAGTGATGAAATAAAAAAAATTTCGAAGCCAGCATTACATGCTTGTTGTTGATTTATCACTTTACAACGGAATGTCAACATTCATCCACATCTCTCATATTTGCATTATTGTATGGTCCGAAGCACTTTAAATTAACTTCAACACAGTGCTCGAAGAAGCAAAGTTTTTATCTGCATCCCTATCCACCTAAAGATTTAAGTATTGTGTCGTATGCAATATAAGGAAATCGTCAATGGACTGTGGCTAATTTAAATACCAAAAGAAAAGTTCATCATTGGGATCGATTTCATATCTATCTTAAACATGACTAGCATGCAGATCTTATTGACATTAGGTGTGTGATTTAATAAGCTTTTTTTTTTACTTTTGGCATCGATGTAATAGATTACTTACTGCAACGAAATGAAATAAGTTCAGTATATCGAGAAAATTTTCCGTGTTGAAATATACTAGATTAAGTTTGGTTTTATTTATATAACACTATTTACTTGCTTGGTCGAATGAGTTGTTTTTACCTATGTAGCATGGCAAATTTATACGTTTCTTATTCTTTGTTAATTTGTTTGATTTTTTTTCCTATTTTTATTTTTTTGCTATACATTCTATCGCGAATGTATTTACAGAAGATGCACATGAAACGATATACCTGAGTGATTTGTGCACAGGCAATCTTGTACAACACATAATATTAATACGTATTTATATCTCAAATGCTATCGAAATACAAAATTATACTCATGGATATATGTATATAATACAATGCAGACTTGTCAATCGAATCTAAATCCTAGATTATAATATAATATGTTTCTAAATATAGTAATCAAATTAAAATAAGAAAAAGAACTAAAGTGATAGAAGCTATCACCCGATGAAAAATATTCATGAGAAAATCACGATTATTTTTGATTATCGATGTCAAAATCTCATTGTTTTGGATGAATCTCCCATTTTTCGCAGAAAATCCAATTCACATTTATAAATCAATTGAAAAAATAATCTACTTCACCGATTATTCTTGATTATCTCGTCTGTAATTCGATTTTCGTCGATAATCGATTTTAATCTTTTTAATCGATTAAAATCTTAAACAATAAAAATCCAATTCAGGGATTTTCATTTGATTATCAACGATTATCAAGGTTGTAATTTGATTTTACTCGTTTATCGACCCTAATCTATTCAATCGATTACCAAGATGTTGGAGAACGCAGCTTCTCAAAAGAGATACTTTTTAATTAAACATTTCGCTATTTAAAGAAAGCTTTGGCTATTTAAAATGGGAAAATTTCAACGCGTCACGATTTTTGTTTTCTGGCTTTCGTAACGGATTGACAGTGCGAAAACCCGTAACAAATTTTACAGGGTGATCGTATCGGGTGTTTTGATATGTATCATTACAGAGCTTTCGTAACGAAAAGCATGTAATTTCTGCAAACTAAGTCCAGCTATCGTCCTAATCCTCACTATGAAATCCCTATTGTTTCGTTGCAAAAGCTCTGCAACTTGTTACGAACTTCCTGTATTAATTGTTACGATCGCCCTGTAAATTTCGTTACGACATCCCTGTATTTTTGGATATTCCTATTTTTGGTGTTACGAAAGGTCTGATTTTTGCTGTTTGTTCAACTCGTCACGTGACGAGTTGAAACTTTCTCTTTAAAATTCTCAAAAGAGATACTTTTTAATGCAACTTAGCTATTTAAAACGGTCTTAGCTATTTAAAAGCTTTGATATTGGTTTTTTCGTACTTGTCTAGCAATTTTAACAAAACAGCAATGACACTGAATTATTTAAATAGATGTGTAGCTCTTTGTTTTGCATTCTGATTTTTTTCATCTATTGCTGTGCTAAACTTCATCTAACAGAGTACAAAAAAGACTAAATTAAAAGAAATTATTCCAGATGTTTAAGAAAGTAACAGAACATGACCGATTGTTAGATTTTTTCATCATCTATCGATTAAGTAATATTGTGTTGGAATAATATTCGTCACAGTTACACAAGGTTGTGTCATACTATAGTCAAAAATATTTAATTCCTATTTGAATATCTGTTGTTAATACAAAATATTCGTATATAATGTTTTAAAATCAATCATCATTTATTTGAATATTTGTAAATCTCTTATAAACAATATTCCAGCCAAAAAACTGAATCTAGACCGCAGAATAACGAATAAGCAAGATTTTACATGCATATTCTACGCATGATTATTTGTTGATTATGTTAATAATTATACAGTTAATAATATCTCAATCTATAAAATGATCACGTTCATTCGTTCACGTTTTTCTATGCTCCAAAAAATCAATAGTTTGAAATAAATTGCTGATAAGTTTTAAATATCTATAAAGATTTTTGACAGTACGGATAACAGCAAATTTCAATATCTGATTACTTCAAAAGACTTCTATTGCGTTCACCAACATGGACGTCTAATTTTCTAGACACTTCTGAGCCTTCAACAAATTCACATGACTTGATGAGGTATATCAGTACTTCACAAATTTTCACATTTTAAATCGTTGCTCTTTTTTCTACAGAATTTTGAATCACAATTGTAGAATCATATAGATATTTAGAAAAATCGGGCATACATAACTTGATGATGACATTTTGTAAATAACTCACAACCATCTCGCAATCCCTGCTCTGAAGAATCAGTAAGATAGGATGAATATTTGAGGAGAATATCTATTAGTGCCGATAATGAAGTATTCTTTTTGGTGGTTATAGGAATAAACATATGATTGTCAGTATGTTGTTTATTGTTTGAAATCGCGAAGTATGATTTAGTTTTTTTCCTTTCTATGGCAAGTTTAAATAGCTGCAAAATCTTTAGATAGCTATGATAGAATTCAATAGCCAAGTGAAAGATTAAATAGCTACGAGATCTTAGATAGCTATGATAAGATTAAATAGCTATGAAAATCATAAAATAGCTGTGGCAAGTTCAAATAGCTACAAGATCTTTAGATAAGGGATGTAGGTGTGGGTGTGGGTGTGGGTGTGGGTGTGGGTGTGGGTGTGAGGTGTGGGTGTCGATGGAAGCAGATCACACATCCCACACCCACACGCACACCATCCCCATCCACACCTACACCACCCACACCCAGACGCTGTTTATCCGAGAAAATATGACATTCGTAAGAAGAATGAAATAATTTTTTTGGGTTCATTTGAAGAATAAACGAAAAACTAATGTGACAAAATACATATTTTCTATTTCCAAATCAATTGCTTTAGTAATTAAGGAAGTATAATATCTCTCGTTATACACAATACTATTGATTGATTATAAATGTTACTTGTAAACATCTGACATTTTGATTATTGAAAAAATATTTTTTATATTGTAGTAAAATTATTTAATTCAACGACATCTACCTGTCGGTTTATGCGATACGATCTTTCTTTTTCTTTTCTTTCACACGTCATTGCACAACTTGAAATGAAACTCTATTTAAATATTAAGCACTAGCAAAAAGAAAATGCGGTCCGAAGATTGATGGTTATCTCGTTGCAAGAAAAAACCCCATCAGTCATCCCATGACCGTTTTTTTTAATCTTTATATTAAGTTCTGAACCAAAAGAGATGTTGCCTCATTCTACAAGACTTTCTCTTAAAAACTTAAAAGTATCATAAAAATAAGAAAAAGATGATGTTCTTCGAAACCACCCAAGGACAATGTCACGTTATTTTTCCTCCTCATAAGTAATGACGAAATGCACCATTTACAGAACGAAAAGAAATAAAATTTTATCACACATAATTATTTTAATGTTTTTTCTTCTGACATGAATTATGTTGATGGTAAGATACCGGCAGAGATATAGCAGTGATTCATTTTAAAGAGTATCTTGTTTTCGATGGGTAGTCATGAATGACTCCTGGATGGATTCGAAAAATACTTCAACAATGATGATAATAATGCATGATTACATGTTATTCAGCAGAACGGTTGAGAATTGCAATTTATGAACAAAAACAAACCATCAATCTTCCGGTTAGGGGTCGGATGCGTTAACCATTGCGCCACAAGAGCCCTACCATAGACAGTAATTTGAAAAAGCTTTTTTTCGAAGGTTGTGAGCGTACGTTAAAGCAAGGACTACATCTATATTTATTCATAGTAAAATCTACACGCACATCTTTCGTGAATATTTTTTATTCAAAACGTTGAAATCCAATCACAAGGATAAAAGAATATACATTGGGGTATATTTATTATTACGTAGTATTTTAAAAATCACCTGATCACGATTTCTGGTTAGTTTTAACTGTTTTGTCAAAACGTGAGTTTGACAATCCATCTTCAATAGGATTCTATTAAATTAGGATATAAAATCATACGTCAATTTTTGTTTGAAAGTTAAGATTTGAAACTAGCAATTCTCGTGTTCTTTTACCAAAAAAAATTTTAGATGAAAAGGAAAAAAAGCATTTGACTTCTATTAAAAATTCGTAAAATCTATACAATGTTTTAGTTTTATTGAATAGAATTTTTTCTATGTCACATATTTCAAAATTAAAGGAGAAGCAAATTAGAAAAGAAACTCATTTGTTCTAAGGAACTCTATACGATAAAAACTGAATATTGATTTTTTTTCAGTTACGGTTATTCAATACCGTTGGAGACTTAAAAAAGGGGTGTTATATATAGATAAGCTTTGCAGTGAGACTGCTTTTCTGATTTTTTTAGATACATGCCTCAATTTTCTTACTTTGAACTAGTATTTCATGATAATTTTCTATAAGATTGCATCTGCATGATTATGAGGTTCTCATTTATGAACTGATAAGTTTCTATTTTCACGAAACTCGAATGCAATGATAATAAGAGAACTTTCGATATCTTGAGAAATAAGTGCAAGAAACTGGTTTTAATATAAAAAGAATGTCGAACTTATAAGTATAGTTCAGATTCGAATTCACTTAAAAAAGTGCATTCGTACTAGAAAATTTTGTAAAAACAAAATTGAATTTTTGAACTCTGCAACAGTATTCTTTAGCTTGTATTATCTATCATTTAATAATGCAAACTAATTTCGCTTTCTTAGGCATTGTAAAATACTACGCCCTCTATAAAAATGGGAAAGAACAAAAAAAAAGGAATAAGCAGAAATTTACAGATTCTATCCTAAAAAGCGAGACTCGTTAGTTTTATTTATTTTCTAGCAAAATGATATGCATTAGAACGAAATCGAATCGCTGTGAAGAATCAATTGCTTAAAAGAATTTTTGTATATTTGTTTTGAATTAATCTAGTTAGTCTTTTGATAATTTCATGTCTTGATAAACAATATGATTTGCTTTTTCACACTGAATTCTGCTTTAATCTCGAGGTTTCAAACATCGTATAAGATCGAGTGGGAAACATCTTAATCCATTCAAACAATTCATATCTTTCATTTTGAATGCTATCTTAGTCATTTTAAAGGAAAATGAGTTTATTGAATAGAATCGAACAATTTCGTCGGAACGATATTCATATTCGAATGCCTCAATTAAATGTAACTTATTGAAGTGATATTAATAATATTGACAACAAGAATCGATTATTTTATGTTTCACTATTCGCACATATATTGATTACAGAATAATAGTATGAAAATGTTAAAACCAAAACTAATTCATCGTCTAATTCAATTTATTCTTGAGTTAATGAACGCAAATTTTCTAGTTTCGTATAGATTACCAATGAATTTCAAGTGCTCAAAGGAAACCTTAGTTTTTTGGTTTTTATGGAAATCGAATATTATGAATGAATCAATTCGTGAAAATGTATTGATTTGAAACAATATTTTTTTAAAGACATTTCTACTTGACATAATCAAGAAGATTCTGTCTTTATCAAGTGGTTGAGTATAATTTATGCAAGGTTCGATTTCGTTATAATATTCGATATGATCATTTATTTGACGAATTCGTTCGTAAATGTTCTTCTATTTATAAATTATCAGTAAACGCAAAAACTGCTTATCTTGAACGAAAGTATACTAACATTAACTAAACTGAAGTAGATCGATCGATTGACTTTTGATTATCAATATTGTTACAATGATATTCAGAGGATTCACGATTATTTGTTTTTACTTGAGTAACATTATTATTTGTGTTCTTGATCAATAGCATCGATTTTGCAAAGGTACTCGAAAAATTTGAGAAACAAATATTATTAAATAATAATGGCTAATGAATTCAATTTTATTCTCTATTTTCTGTAAAACATGTCTAAATCTATTGTTGAGATAATCATGAGCGCTAATTTTTGTAAGAACTATTTGATAAACCACCCCATGTAATTGTTTATTTTTATTTAATTAATAGTTTTTGATTTCTTTTATATAGATAAGAAAATCGCATACAAAAAAATAAAACTGAATCGATTGAACATGTTTAAAATCAATAAAAAGGATATGAGTGTAGGTAAGAACCACTCTTCATTTATTCACATCCACACTCGCATCGTCACATTCTATAGAACAAAAGAGCGTCTTTTTCTCTATCAATATATAGAAAAAGAAAATTATTTCATTCTTCCTGTATGAAAATGAGCTATTGATGATACTACCTTTGGAATACCGTAAGTATGGAAAGATTTTCGACATCGTTCTTTATCTTTTATACCCTTAGATAATGTCATCAAGACAACTTTTTTCAGGATGATTGAAAAATCTTTGACAAATGTTTTTACTGTATAAAGTTTATATTTAATCTACTTAAAAACATATTCAGTCAAATGTTATTGTGACACCTATGCGTTTTGGTAAGAGTGTATCCCCATGTTTGTATCCGCCCGCATTAACATCTGGTCCACCATCACCAAATGTCACATGTTGCATGAGTCGTGCACAAATAGCTTTAAGTTCGAGTCGAGCTAAGTCTTGACCCATACATTGACGATGACCACCTCCGAATACTATCCATGCTGCTTTATTGCGAATTGTATTATCTTCATTTTGAAATCGTTCAGGATAGAATTGATCAGGATCGATTGGTCCCGACCAATAGCGTACATCTCGAGCTATGTTATATAATGAAATAAGCACATGGTCGCCTTTGTTCAATAAAAAGTCACTCGATGGTAATCGATCATCGACTTGAAGTGTTCGTAGAGTACCAATTACAGGTGGTGCAAAACGAAGCACCTCACGAAGAACACAATCCAAGTAGCCGAGTGAGTTGAGTTGTTCGATCGAGAGACGTTGATGATGATATTCAGCTAATTCTGTTTTAAGTTTACTTTGTACTAAAGGATATTTACTCATGAGATGGATGAACCAGGCAAGAGCTGTCGATGTCGTTGAATAGCCTGCTGCAAGAAATGAACACATTTCATTCATTACCTCAGTTCTGGAAAGACCTAAATTCATGAAATGAATATGTTCGTATCAAAATCAACTTAAATCAATGTGATCATGTACCTTTCCTATCTTCTTCAGATTTTGTGGCTTCGAGCATTTCGTCCTGTTGCAATGAAGTGACCAATGAAGCAATCAAACATGTTCGTTTACGTTCACTTCTCGTTGTTGGATTTTCGACTAATTCTTGATCGATCATTCTTTGTAAATACTGATTAATAATTGCTTGCGATCGACGATATTTTTGATTCAATAATAAGTAAATACGACCAATGACTGTTGGTAATTGCATAAGATCCACTGCTGTATTATGAAATGTATGCAATGCACGACAGAGTTCATTCTCACTACTGTGATTTTCATCGTCGAGTGTTTCTAGATCATAGTCAAATGCAATATAACCAAAAATGGCAAGTAAAAGTTGTTGACATTGTTCAATCATATTCAAGTGAACTTGTGTTGGGTCATTGTTATAGGTACGCCATCGATCTAATAATTTGTCCGTACAATCAATAGCTGTGTCTAAATGTATGTTAATTTTGTTGCCACGAAATAATGGACCGACAATACTTGCGTGCCGTTTGTATTTAGCTCCTATTTTATTTTCAACAATAAAACAACTATGTATTTATCAAACTCGTGGATGAGAGAGAATTTTTTCTACTATTCTCTTCTAACCTTTTAAAGCAATAATTCCATTTGGATTGACTAAACCAAATTTTTCTGCAAAAATATCTCCTTGATCGTATACATGTCGATGAGCAAAGATATGTTGCACATCTTCGAGTCCACTGACGACTATGATACGTGTAGAACCAAGCCAAAACTGATAGATATCGCCAAATTTAGCTTTCAACTGTAAAAATACAATATTCAAAGATACATTTTGTCCAAGGATTCCTGTTTGTAACAAATTGCCAAAGAGAAATTGCGGTGCCAAACCGGGTATTGAACCCCGCAAAGTGAAGTAGACATGTTTGATGTAGTAGCATAGCACTAGAATGATTATAACGAGAGTTAGCAGTAGCATGAATGATAAAGCAGACTAGTATATATAAAACAACCAAATGATATTACTGCGTTTGTCTCACATACTGTTCTGCCTGTCGAGAAGAACAGAAAAAAAATCTATCTCCTACTCGCTGAGATAAACCGAGGGTAAAATGTTATCTCTCTTTCTATGGATATAATGACTCAATCGATAGAACAGAAAATAAGAAAAAAATGTAATGCTTTATTCAAGGTTTTATGTGTATCCTCGCAGATGTTTACGATGATTCTTCTCTTTCTACTCTGTCTGCATACTTTGTTGACTGTTTATTTACTCTCTCAACATCCCTACAAATGTAAATCGATACACAGCGTATGATATTGGTGGCATAAAGAATAACGCTTTGCTTTAATTATGTAGCTTTTCACTGAAATATCTGTATTTCTTGCTTTTATCATCTAAACACGTTGGAATTTTACACTTATAAGCAGAATAAAAAAGAAATGGCTCATAAATGATGATTAGAGACGGAGCGAGAATATTATACCAAACATAACTACAAGTGCTAGAATTCTGAATGTTTGGATAGACGACGGATGTAGATGTAGCTCATAGCTTGTATCGGACCGGCAAACCAATATGGAATCAACCGATCTTCGTTGGTTTTTTTTTGAATATTTTAGTGGCGGTGAAGTTGAACTTATTTTGTTCATTTTTAAGGGCTTCTCGAATTTCAATGATCAGAAAATATGAGCCTAGAAGTTTCTCATAGACTGAAATTCAATCGTTGTCAAAATTTTAGCTTTGAATAGTAGCCAACACTTTCTTATCCGACGCTGGCAGCCTCGTATCGTGCCAATTAATTTATTATGCCTATGAAAAGTTAGTCACATGCTTTAAGTTCAATCTGTTAAAATTAAAGGCCTTTCACATCTAAATTTACTTACTTCTGTGAACTAATTTGAACTAAGTCTCATGGAACTAAAATATTAGCATCATGCAACTATGTTGATATTTAGATATTAACAAGTCTCATATAGGGAGTTTGATATAAAAATTGTGCGCTTGAGCTCACTTTATCTTGCCAATATGTATGTGGGTATAGGTTTTCTCGTGATTGACAATCAGATCCATATCCAACCCATATCTATACTCTAACTTATTTAAAATATTTTACATGGATAATATGTTCGCTATTAATCAAAGAATCGCAATATGATTCATTGTTTTTTCTTTGATAGAAGTCTATTTATAAATATGAATAGTCTGTGCATTGCATTGCAAATTAATATAAAAGTGTCAATTGACTGTTTTCTAGATCAGATTCTGAACAAGCAAAATGAAATCTATTCACATCTTAGTGTGTCTCAATCATCATCATGTGCATAGCCGTTATATTCAAGAACATTTCATTCAATTAAAAAGAGAGAAAGTAGAATGTGAGCGTGGGTGCCAGTATTCTCTCAAGTGACACTCATATCCCACTATCATTTTCCTTAATGTCTTAGAGGTAGTTCAATATTCATTAGAAAATTGTTTAATCATTGAGATATCTTTCTTCTCAAATTTTTTTAAAATAAGATTGATAACTCATTTGATATACATGAAAAAAATGTATCGATGGATTGAAGAGCTTTTATAGCATTTCATATCATCACTCATACTCTTCTTTTGTTTCAATGAATAAGTCTGATAAGAAAAATAATGATTCATTATAAGTTGATATTCATTTAGCGATATTAACAAATTGAAGAATATACTCATGTAAAAGCATTTTAACTATGATTAAGATTGGTAGTCGTTGTATGAGCATATCAATAACAAAACCATCTTATTTCTAATTTTCTTACTTGTTTTCATAGTGAAACCATACTTGAGCAACAATTGCCTATCATCAAGAAAAATTTCAAGAAAAATTAAAATTGTATGGATATTCCCTTACAGACATAAGAGAAAACAGCAATACTATTCATTTGTCATCATAAAAAAGAGTACATGAAGGTTTTCCTTTCCCAATAAATAAGATTCGTTGAGAAAAAATGATCGAGTTTAGATATGAAGATAAGGCACTTATTTTCACTTACGTCTACATCTACACCTACCTTTCTTTAACATGTGTAAATTTGCAAGAATCATTGATGTGAAACAAGTCTTTTGAACTTCCTTTTTACAATCGATTAAATTCCTGTACTCAATGAGGATGTAAGTGTGGGTGTAGACTTTCTCTTCTTCCACATTCACATCCTCAACAGTTCCGTGGCGACTTCAATCAACATATGTTTCATTCTCGCACTATATTCATATATAGTGTTTACCTTGCATAATAAAAACAAAACCCTAATGTTGGCCTTCTTATCAATGTCTTGCTGCTCTGTTTCGTCCATTTGTTGTGGTCTCCTGTCAAATTTCTATTTAAGTTTTTTCTCCTTGCCTTTATTCTGATAGTCACAATAAAATGGAGAGAAAGCAACTTTGAAGAGATCTCGAATGCATCTAAGAAGCACATACATGAACCTTTCGTGCAAAGTGGGATGGGTGTGTAAGTGCTTTCCTCAAGCATAAACGCCCACACCTCACCCGTGCAATTACAAGTGAAAAATACGACGATGCATAATTTCTTTCTTTACTGTTGATTCTAATAATAGAAGGCAAACAAAGTATTTTTATTTGAGTTAATGACACTTTAATAGACGAGGGTAATGGTTTGAAATCAGAAGACTTAAAGTATCTCTCTCTTAGTGTTTGTTACTATGCAAATATACTCCTTTTTTTTGTACGCTTTGTTTGTTATAGAAATTAACTTTTTCGTATGATGTCTCAATCATTACACTTCAAGTTAGAAATTTCTACGGAATAATATGGTAATGGATGGTAAAGTTGAAGAAGTATGGAAGAACAAGAAAAAGAAAGAGATGAAAATGAAATAAAAACATAAAGTTGCAAGCTACTTGTCGTAAACTAGCGTTTCATTTTGAAGGAGAATTGAAACGAAAATTGATGGGCAATATATTCAAAAAAAGCACTATACTAAAAAATCGGGCATGTCATTACGAAGTTACAAAACAACAAGGATTGTAATTATGTTAAATGCATGCATTCATTTGTGCAAAGCTATACACTTTTTGTTTTAGAAAAGTCGATGACATAACATTATCGAATAATCATTCATATCCAATATCATACATTGGTAAAACTAATAACTCTCTCCCCTCGAAAAATAATGGTCAATCAGAGCAACATCATTCTGACGTATTTTCGTCGTAAATATATGTTATATATTATATTATTATACAAAGTATTTGTGTTTTTCTCGTAGATTCGCACTTGGTGATGATCAAGATCGACCTCCGTTATATAAAGAACAGTATATTTATTCCTCTCATCAGCTTCCTGTATCGAACTCGCAAAGTGTGTTACCGACAACAGAGAAAGCGCAATCGTCAACTTTCTTATTCAAAACTATATCGATCAGAGGATAGTAAGTTTTACACATATGAAAACATTATTTATTCAAACATTTCTATGTTTCATTCAAGTGAAACAAACATATGGGTATTGTTTTTGATAATTATTGCCTCGATCATTATTCTCCTAGTGGCCATTGTGGTACCAGTCATTCTGGTTATACGAAACAAAGATTCATCACAACCTAGTAAGAATTGATTCTAATGCAAAAAATACCTAATATGATTCGTCACTTGCTCACCAAAAGATACACAACTGTATTCAGGTCATTCAGCTGATTGTGAATACTAGTTGTCAAGTCACAAAAGTGAGTTTTTAACGTATACCAGACTGTCTACGTGTTTTATGGTAAGAAAATATTTCCGACATGTAACGTAAATGATGATGAGCTACTAGAATTTGTATTTCTTGAGGATTTGTTAACTATGATCAAATATTAGCTTAGCAACACTGACATTCATATCTACATCCTCATCCTCATCTTCACCCGCACCTTATATGTATAAAGCAATCAAGAGAGGATTTACCTCAAAATAAACTTATTGAAGAGTCTCAATCAATTCGAGTAAGATAAGCTACAGTAACTGTTACACTCACACACACTTACACCCAGCCCACATCTTGCAGGTATGATTCACACCCTTGCCCACATAGAGATCCACTCGCATTCTCAAGATATGTTCTGAAACATTTAGAAGTCTTCTCTTTTTTTTGGCTTGGCTTAATTTCATTTTCTTTGCAGTTGAAAATGGCTAGAAGCCTTCAACTACTGGCACTCCACCAACTTACACTCTAATTACGAGCCAACATGTTCTCTGGACAGGTAGTTTCATAGTCGCTAATTCTAGCTGTGATCAATCGCGATGTTGCTGTTTTATAAACAATATTGTTCTAACGCAACCGATGTCTACCACTTTAAGCATCTCGTGTATAATCGATGGAAATTGTAGTACGACACAATGTCTGTTAGAGAACATGGAGTATCCGATCGGTTACTCTAAATTGGTGACAGTAGATAAAATACCGTATATGTTCGAACTGAGTGCTGACAGCAATACTCTTGTGCTAAGAAATCTGTTAAACTCTGCATGTAGTGTAACGACCACTCGACTAGGTTTTGGTACATCCTCACAAACATCCACACTTGCACTTACAACTGCATCCACATTTGCACTAACTTCTACATCAACCAGCATAGTCGCAACCGTACCAATAGCGACATCAACGATCAATCAACTGGCCCCGTGGCCGGGCACTTTCATCACTCGTTCCAGTTGCAACCAAATTTTTTGCTGCTGTCCAACTGGTCAAGTTTTTATAACACAAACTTCACCCAGCACTCTGGGGATCACATTCACATTAAAAGGTTTGTTGTGCGCTACATACGCAGGTTCACAAACAGTTACTGTACCTTATCCATCTCAGTACAGCATATCGCTGACACTCTTAATTTATTCTTACAATATTGAATTGAGCTCAAACGGTAACACGATAACACTTACAAATACGAACATGCGTGCGTGCGACGAAACAGCCACTCGAAGTGGCACTGATCGTTAACTGGAACAAATCAAAACCCATCCGTGATGGTTGTTCTTCGTTCTGCATTCCTCGGCGTATTTGTAATCAATGTATTCCTTCACATGTTGCCTGTTTGCTTCTAAATTAACCTCGCACTTTTGAAATTATTCATTAAATTAACATAATCTTCGCTTCATTTGAACACAGTCTAATTTCATCAGAGGGCGAGGATATGGGTAGGTATATGATCGATGTGATAGATCTCGCTTTTTATTCTACCCATACCTATATCCACACCCTTTTGTCTGACATCGACGACTAACCATTACAATGTGACGAAGACTCTTATACTTTTTGAAAGGATGAGGAGAGAACATATCAAGTTAAAAGAATGGTGAGCTCAAGTTTTAGTGGCTGCGCTATCTTTCTCTCCCTATTACAGACCTTAGTAACCATGCACAAAAGTCTTCAGATTGATTTGCTAACAAAAAACTCGAATTGAATAGTCTGCAAAATATCGAAGTGATGAAATCGGGCGCTTTCTAACGAAAAAGACAAGAAGTAAATGATGAATGCTCACTCTTGACATCGATTATTAGTAAAAATAACTACAGTCGACAAAAAATTTTTCAGTTTCCAGATGATGTATTAGGATAGTACCCATGTCCTCGAAATCGCTAAAAAATCGACGATTTTATCGCGGCTTATTAGGGTGATTAATCGTGAGAGCTTATCACGATATAATTGTTCAAACTGCGCTTTTTACCGATACTTTTTCCGATTTTTAACAACAATCGCGATTAATATATAATATCCTTATCGGCATTGACCACTTAGCATAGACTTCATGAAACTTTTTATAGGTTAATACTATCGTTTTATACAAAATACATCCAGCTACTTTATTAAGATAATTATTTTCAACAATACAACAAATCTATGGATGTCACATAAAGAATTCCAAAAAATAACACACAATAACTTCATATACAGTAAAAAATAACATATTTTTTTACGAAACAAAGAGTGAGAGTCATAAATAAGTTTTTTTGTTCTTTATTGTCTTTAATAACCATTATTACAATCTAATTTTCACATAAAACAATATTGAACGTATATTGTTCTATCGATATAATTCATACTAGATCTTCTGTTGTTCTGTACCGTTGACTTCCGACATCACTGAAGTTGACATGGGTTGATTGGTGAAATCTATAGAAATGATTAAAGTGGTGAAGTATATATAAGAAACGATGATACATTACTTGTATTTGTAGATGTTTTTAACTTTTTTTGTTGATTGCGACGTTTACTTAAAATAGAATCGTGTACTGGAGGCCAAACAAAAGACATTTCATTCGCAGAATAATCGAATTTTCGTTTCACAGCGGCTAAAATAAGTGGAAGAAGGTATTGTCTATTATGGATCGTTATTGTACTTATACTTACTATAGATAGATTTTATACGTGGATCTTCATCAGCTTTCTTTACATTGATATTTTGAAAATCTTGTATATCTGTAAACAAAACATCTATTAACTTCAAAGCATATTTGATTGTATTTTGTTTATTGCCTGGTACAGACAATAGTTCTACGACAGAACCATCATCTCTGACAAATGTCTAAAAGGAAAGGACAAATGAATAATCAAATTACTTTTACCTCAAATGAAAAGATAAAAAAAATTATTATCAATAGAACATACTACATCCTGATTACCAGATTGTTCACCATCGGTTTCAACACTTCTATTGTCATTCTCGAGAGTAATTGGTATCTAAATGAAAACAGTACTTGAAATCTACTAAATATGTTTACATGTTCTCTTTCTACCCTGTGTTTAGCCAAACTTTTGAGCAATTTTTTTTTGGTTATTACATAATGTATTTAAAAATTTTTCTAGACGATCTAAATTTATTGTTGTTTGCTGTTGATGTTTTTGTAATTTCAATACGTTTGAATTGATTTGTTTTACATAATCGAATATTTGTTGTGTATTAAAAAGACGATTACCGAAACAGTAGACGGTGTTTTATACGATCGTTCTCGTCGCTTTGCGGAATGGTGTAATCTGCTTGGATCAGAATGGTATAGCATAGTGTTGATGACACGACGAACGAAAATTGTCAACTAAGTACAAATTAAGTTTCGAAAGTGAACAATGATATCGTAATAAACTTGCAATTTGTGAACGTGGAACTTGGATAGTGTATTCATTTCAGATAGTTCGACGTGTTTAGCATTCAGAAAGACCCACTCCGTCGCATTGATAATAATAACTCTCATCTTATATGGTATACGTATAATTGAAGCTCGGTTTTGATGATTATGAGCATTCTATGTTGAAGAACTAATTTCATCGAAATAATTCACTGTAGTTTGTTTATGAAAGCCGCATTGTGAGTATTTTCAAAATTGCTTACATCGATATATGATCTTTCTTCCACTTGTATTTAATTTGGTACGTTTCATAGATACATCAGTTTGTGAGAGATAAGATTGAAAATCGTCTTCATTGGAAAATTTGTCAACAAACTGTCACAGTCGTTTAGCCGTCAGTGCACAAGTTACACATTTACACGAAGATTTTTAGAAATACTGAAGATACTCCATGAACAATGAATCAGTCAATGAATGCAATTTATTAGTAGACTAACAATCAGTTACATACAAGACTCAAAAAACTGCCATCCCGCAGGATTTCACGAGAGAAAATACAAACGAATTACTGCATTAAAAATGATTTTCATCAATCAAGACATCGTTACTCTTGATTTTACAGATCCATTCCCTATAAGTCTCCTTCAACTGTTCAGTCGTAGTTAATATCAAGCGATTCTACGATTCTACAAGAAATATTCATTCCATCTGAATCGATTCATTACGATGCATCACTATTGGTTGTCCATATATAATTTTATCCGCCATCTGAGAAACTCAAGTCGGTTGCTTAACATTAATTGTGAAGTACTACGCATTTAATGTATCACCTGTCATTCGTGATCGCTCAATTTGACAGAATGTGGCTGTAAGAATCAAATAGTACAGTTTTCATTACTTTCTAACAATTTGAGGATGATGACAAGCTTCATTTTAGCGTGTTTCTTATAGATTTTCAAGGCTTCATCTCTTTTTATATGATTACGATGACTCGATCGAATTTATTTTACTAATATCTTTTTCATCAGGTAATCAAATGAGACACAAAAAACTCAGAATCGGATTTTCATCCATGCACAATAGATCTGAGCTGACGGTGTGGGGTACGGCTGTGGGTGTAGGTGTGGATCATCTCTTCACCGACACCCATACCCACCCGCACCAACACCCACACCCACACCCACATCCATACCCACACCCACACCCACATCCATACCCACACCCACACCCACATCCATACCCACACCTACACCCCACCCTCGTGTAAACTATCACAACAATAAATGAAAATTCACAAGTAAGAATACCGACTCGAACATCTAAATATTCAAATACACCATTAATGCTTAAATCACGATTAGCACGATTCAGAGATAATACTGCTATTCTCTATTAATTTATAATTCATTGACAAAATAAAAATATTTTCTAATCTTAGTTAACAGATATTGACACAAATAAGTTCAACTTTTTCTTTTTTGTAAACATGTGAACTAAATATGCTTATTGATTAGTCTATTTTTTTTCTGTTTTCGTATTCATACAAATATTTATTTTGTTGTATTACTTAAACATCAAAAACCAGGATTAAAAGTATATAAACATCAAAATATTTTAGTAGCATATGTTAAATCCTTCTTGGCTTCGTTAGAGAGAATAAAATACTATCAGAAAGTATATCTGTATATGAGTTGTTCTAGCTAATTCGTATTTGTATATATGCTTATATAAGTCTTTGTTTTTTGTTCTATTCTACTGTGATCAACAGAAACATTTTCTGTAACTTCATGTAAATCAAGAAACAAACGCATTTTATTTCACAAAAAAAACCAAAAAAAAAAATAAACATGGCGAAAAACAAAAGAAAATCATCGTCAACAAGAAAATTGCCTTTCAAAAATAATTCTACATATTTCATGAAAAAACATGATTATGTTATAATAAATTTCGCACTAGCAACAAAAAAATATTATTTGTTTAACATGAGACAACAATTGTACGTAATTAAGGTTATTCATTTGTCATCATATAGTATGATAATGAGCAACAAAATGATTACGATATAAATTTTCTAAACATAGCTTTTAATTCATATCAAATGCATCAGATATACCAATGGACGATAGATATTCATTGAATGATGTATTACCATGTGCATTATGACGTAAAAATTTTTTTACAGTATCATATTCAGCTTCATTACGATCCATTTTATCTAATAAAAATTTAAGTAAAGTATCATAATTAAGTCGTAATGAATCAGTTTGATGTTTGATAATTAATTCAAAATTATTAAATATATTTATATCAAAATTGGTTTGCCGATTATCTCTGTTAAAATCAGCTACTTCCCATGATATACTTTGACCTTGTGAACGTAATAAACATGCATTAATTATTGATTTTGAATAATAACAATCAGATACATGTTGATTAATCATCATAGTTCTAATTTCTTTGACAAATGGTGTTAATAATTCAGCTATTGCACGACGTTTTTTTGTTTCAATTCTATCATTTTCCAGACATTCAATATGATTTTCTAAACCTTCAATACGATTTTCTAAACGTACAATATCATTTTTCATTGTTTCATTATTTTTTATCAAATCAATACAAATAGTTTTAATTTCATTAATGAAACGATCTAATTGTAAACCTTGTTCATGAGTAATTGGATAATGTTGATTGATAAAAAACAAAATTTCATCAAATAGATAATGAATACGTTGATTAATAGATAATAATGGGTCACTTATTACTTGATAAAATTTATCATCTGGTATATCTTCAATTGCTTTAATAAGTTCACTATAAGCTGGACATTCTTTTGATAAATATAACGGCATAATAGAAATAATTCTTTGTTTGATTTCACGTGACATTCTGATGAAATTAAAAAATCTAAAATATAGAAATGTTGTTAAAATGACGCCAACAATATATGAGAGGATAACAAGAAAATGAGATAAATATAAAATAAAGCATACAAGAAGTATTTCCTTTTTATCCTTGAAAAAATGTATCTTATTTAAATTTCTTTAAAAAAATATCAGTGGCATAGACAAGAAAGTTTTACAAAGGGGACAAGTGTATTTTAAAAAAAAATTCAGGGATGAGGGGTATCAAATATCGTTTTTGGCTAGATGAGAGACGTTAATAACGGATGCGGAACCGTTTGTAGAGGAAACATCACATCTCGTGCATCCATGGTAGCTGCGCCACTAAATTTTCCAACAGCTTATGAACACTAATACAGCTAGAATTTACAGTAAAATAGTGGGTATAAATAACCACAGTGCAATGCCGACTGCTATATTGAATCTGCCTTTTTTCTTTGTCGTTCTGAAGCACATACTTGGTATAAATTTTAACTAATCAATATTTTCCCCTTTTCCCTTTTATTGTAGTCTGTAGTGTATAGATGACAGACTATTTCAGAGATAGCATACTAAAAATAATAATGTTTTCTCTTCCTGAATAATTGTTTCGTTTAAAAATTCAATAATCAATCATACAATAAAAATACTAAGTAAATTTAATTTTA